GGGGAGTGGGTAGACAGAAGGTTGTATAGAGACCTTAAAAGCTTTCTCCTACTAAAAGGTGGGTGGGGAGGGCGAGTGGATACACGTGTCGATTTTTCACTCCTCTCACTGGTATTCGAATGCATAAGCCTCCCACTGAAAGCATTTGAGATGTTAATCCGATATGTTTCACAGAGAAACATGGCGAACTTTAAGGGGTTCTTTAGTTGTGCATCTATCTTGGTAGCTGCGGTTGTTGCCAATGAATTGTTTTTTGCAAAAAGGGATAGGTAGATATGCGGACATCGCTCCGGTATAAAATTCAGTACGACTTGGGTTTCATTTTATTGCACGTGTTTATAGCGCCACTTCTACCTTCTTAACTTTCATACATTTTGCATTCTTTAAAATAACCCTCTTGGCAATGTTTATGTCAGGCGAAGATGTTTTGCTGTTTCCCGATGGAAAATTGCTCCTTAAAATGAAGGCTAGAAATATCTCTTAAAACTGACCTTTCGTATGACAAACTAAAGAATAAACTTAGTTTTGCAAGAAGTAAATGAAGAAGGAATATGGATGCTTTCTAACGAGCTGAACATTTATGTGATCAATATGGTACTTTAAGGACGCCAATAGGAAAGTCGTCTTCTCTTATCAATTTTCAATTCTCCAATAGTATTTCACACGGCGGGCTTTATGATACTTATCATTAGCCCCTTAGCTGACTTTGGTCTTCACAGAGGGGATGAACATCCAAGTCACAAAAAGTCGAGAGGTAGGGTGAACAGAAGAGTGATTCGATGGTTTAAAAGAGACAGACACAAAGGCAGAGAAAAGGTAGGCTAACTACAGTGGAAGAGTTCGAGTAAGACATACAGTGGGGTCATGGTAGCTTGAAGTGAGAAGTCAACTGCCGGTTAATAGACTTTTTTGCCACATGCAGTCAGAAGTCAACTGCCGGTTTATAGACTTTTTTGCCGTTTGAGTAGTCAGAAGTCAACTGCCGGTTAATAGACTTTTTTGTGAAGTGAGAAGTCAACTGCCAGTTAATAGACCTTTTTGCGTTGAAGTCAGAAGTCAACTGCCGGTTAATAGAATTTTTTTGCCGATAGTGAGAAGTCAACTGCCGGTTTATAGACTTTTTTGCCGCACAGTGGAAGTGGTCGAATATGCCATACAGTGAGGTCACGGTAGCTTGAAGTCAGAAGTCAACTGCCGATTAATAGACTTTTTTGCCACATGAAGTGAGAAGTCAACTGCCGGTTAATAGACTTTTTTGTGAAGTGAGAAGTCAACTGCCAGTTAATAGACCTTTTTGCGTTGAAGTCAGAAGTCAACTGCCGGTTAATAGAATTTTTTTGCCGATAGTTTGAAGTCAACTGCCGGTTTATAGACTTCGAATATGACATAGAGAAGTCAACTGCCAGTTAATAGATCATGGTAATTGAAGTCAGAAGTCAACTGCCGATTAATAGACTTGGGGTCATGATAGTTTGAACTCAGAAGTCAACTGCCAGTTAATAGACTTACTCATGGTAGTTTGAAGTCAACTGCCAGGTAATAGACTTTAGTTTGAAGTGAGAAGTCAACTGCCGATTGATAGACTTTTATTTGAAGTCAGAAGTCAACTGCCAGTTAATAGACCTTTTCAGTCAGAAGTCAACTGCCGGTTTATAGACTTTTTTGCCGTTTGAGTAGTCAGAAGTCAACTGCCGGTTAATAGACTTTTTTGTGAAGTGAGAAGTCAACTGCCAGTTAATAGACCTTTTTGCGTTGAAGTCAGAAGTCAACTGCCGGTTAATAGAATTTTTTTGCCGATAGTGAGAAGTCAACTGCCGGTTTATAGACTTTTTTGCCGCTTTGAAGTCAGAAGTCAACTGCCGAATAATAGACTTTTTTAGGGTAGTTTGAAGTGAGAAGTCAACTGCCAGTTAATATAACGAATATGACATAGAGAAGTCAACTGCCAGTTAATAGATCTGGTCATGGTAGTTTGAAGTCAGAAGTCAACTGCCGGTTTTGGGGTGATGGCAATTTGAAGTCAGAAGTCAACTGCCAGTTTAGTGAGGTCATGGTGGTTTGAAGTCAGAAGTCAACTGCCAGTTAAAGTGATGGTAGCTTGAAGTGAGAAGTCAACTGCCGGTTAATAGACTTTTTTGCCGTATGAGTATACGTTGCCCAGGGTGCACTACGTGGAGGTAAGTCTATCGCACGCCTCATTCTTCAATAGTAAATCTTAGTAATAAACAATGGATCCGTTAAAGTAGAATAGTTTCTACTTCCCATTCTGGGTATATATATAAATATCGTACTGGCTCCTTTAATGCGATTGACAATACTCATGCTCTCGATATACCTCATAGCGCATTGATTTCAACGTTACATCACTAGCCCAAAGTATTAATAGGTGCAATTTCGTTATTACTCTTCATCTAACTCGGGTTTTTTACTGAGAAAAGTTCAAATATGCACAAACATTAAAAATTATATTGTATTGTGTTGCTTTTTTATATTAACCCGAAGTTGAAATCCATTTTCTCTCTTTATTACAAGACTGGGAAATATGGGATTCCGAGTTGCTGGAAATGATCATTCAAAGAATAGAAAGATAAAATGTCACTTTTGAATTTTGACTTTTTCTCGAAACGGCTCGAAAGTCATAGGTGCTGAAAAATATTTGGTACGAATATATATATAGAAATAATTTAATTTGAAATTTTTAAATAATTTTTTTTCTATATTGTTGCGTTCTTCGAAAAGCCGAAAGTCACGAACAAATCCGTCGAGAATTTAAGTAAAATTTTCTCATTTTGTTACAGAGTTAGCACATATTATACCGGTTTTAAAGGAAATGTTTATTCATTTATTAAAATCAAATGTCGGGCTTTATGGTGGCTATCATTAGCCCTTTAGTTGGCTTCGGACTTCAAAGAGAGGAGGAACAGACAAAGTCAAGAAAAGTCGAGGGGTGTGGAACGGAAGAGTGATTCACCGTTGTAAAAGAAAGACAGATATAAAGGTAGAAAAAATGTGAAGTTAATACTGTGGGAGTGGTCGAAAATGACACGCAGTGGGGTCAGGGTAGTTTGAAGTCAGAAGTCAACTACCTGTTAATAGACTTTTTTGCCGTATGAATATACGTTGCCCAGGGTGCACCACGTGGAGGTAAGTCTATCACATACCCCGGCTTAAGTCAAATGTGAAATCACAAATTGACCTTAATTTAGCGGTTTGATCGCCATGATATTCATCGATTGGAATTCCTGCAGTTTAAAATATGGTTGCTCTTGGCTTCAGTGGGCAGGGTACTGAGCTTGACACTCTTAGAGATATGAAGCATCTAGAAAGGGGAGGGTGGGATTGAAGCCATCTGATTAATTTATTTGACGAATAAATGAAACATGGGCACTTAAAATTGAGCTAGTTGATATGCTCTCTGTTGCCTGTAACTTTAAATTAAGGTTAATATTGGCACTTAAAACGTGAGCTGTGGCCAGCCACGTGAACTTAAGTCAATTATTACCCACTGGTCAATCGCACATAATGTTATTCTGGCTTGTCAAAAAAGGATATTTGGGCTCCTACGGCATCTCTTCGTACAAAACCTTGGTTTTACTTCAGCTCACCAATATAGTTACTTAAACCTTCCCACCACTCTTTTACTTCTAATGTTTCAAGACAGGAGTGTGCGATAGACTTACCTCCACGTGGTGCACCCTGGACAGCATATACTCATACGGCAAAAAAGTCTATTAACCAGCAGTTGACTTCTCACTTCAAACCACCATGGCTCTACTGCCTGCCCTACAGATCTTACCTTTTTCTCTACCTTTATGTCTGTCTGCCTCTTTTACATCTGTGAATCGCTCTTCTGTACCCCACCCATCGACTTTCTTCTACTTTGATGAACCTTCCTCTGTGAAGCCTAAAGTCAGCTAAATGGCTAATAATAGCTATCAAAACGCCTGACATTTGACATAAAAATATGTTTCAAGACAGGGGTCAAAACCTGGGCTAAATGACTTCAGAGGAAAAATGACCCCCACTAGCAATGCGCTATGAATAGCAATGTTGACAAGTGATGAAATAGAATGTCAACGACCAGGCGATTTTTTCACCATCTATCGAATCGAGATGGTCTAACCATAGTCCAAAAAACTATCTATTTCACCTCTTGCTAGGAATACTTAAGTAAGCAGTCTATCTATTTCGCTTTTAGTTTCACGTGAGCCCGTAATCCATGGTCTCTCTGCTGCTTTCGATTGGTATTTGCGAAGATGATTAGTTTTGTATTGCAGATCTCTAGGCCTGCTTGACAGACCATCTTATCATTTGACAACCCCTTGAACTAATGCTCACTTATCGTCCCTAATTGATTAATCCTAACAATGACAATGATTCAAAATTTCATTAACGTATATAGTCAATGAAACTATATTTGCCTATTGTAAATACCCCACTGCAAAGATCAGATCAACCACAAGTGGATGTATATATATATATATATATGTAGCATGTATTTTGGTTGATATATACAGGTACACTTGCTCGATTTCTCATACTTAAAAGTAACACAAGTTTTCGGAGACAATGCATGGGATACAGACACAGTTTAGACAAAACTGGCTTGTCCACCACAGGGGTCAGCAGTACGTGAGGGTGAACGACTTGACGTAGGAGTTAAGTGAAGTGGAGTAAATGAGACGGCTGTGTTATAGTTTATCGTCGTTGGATTGTGTCCAGTGGAAGTTGTGGTGGCAGTAGGCGTCAGCGGTGTTTGATATCCATCTTGTTGACTCCTATTGCTCTTATATCCACCCAGTAATGGCTGCTGTTGTTGACGCTCTAGTGTTCCCATCTTAGATCCAGAACAATGGAGCAACTCATCATACGACTTCGAGGGAATTAAAACACTGTATGCGTTTTGGCTTTTAGACTGTGAGGACTGTGAAACAGGGGTTTGGGTTGAGTACTGAGCCACAAGTGGAATAGAGCAGACAGGCGATTTGGCGTCTGTCATACATGATGTTCCATAGATAGGTCCGAAGGAAACCTTCTGTAGACTTCCCGCATGGCAAGCGGCAGAAGACATCATGAGGTTATTCTTCTGTGTCAGTAGAGGACTCATTCGATTGACGTCATCAGTATATATTACGCTTCCTACAACTTGTCCACTTGGAGAAATGGCGAAGCCCTTCTCTGAACCAGGAGGCAATGTCACCAACATCTGTGGCTGGATGTCAACCTATAGAAAAAAAACGTGAAAACTCAAGCTAAAACTCTCATGCAGCAAAACAGTTAAATATTTTAACATTTTCACCCATTCTAAATGCCAATAATAGGAAGGAGATTTGAAATTATCGAAGCCCTGAGCGAAGTTCGAAAAAGTTCTGTCAATAAACTTCGTGCCTTGGACGCTAGGTTTTCTGATCATCTTTCCTGTATCCTCCTATCTGGAATCAAAGCCTTCTCCTCGATATAAAAATTGTCATATAGAAAGCGTTTATTCCAATACTCACTTCATGGAATTTCCCTATTGAGAAGCTAGAATTTTAATCGTTCTCTATCACCCAGACTTAACTACCTAGGTCATGGATCTGGACCGAATGACATCGGATCTCACGCTGGCATGCGTTAAGAAGGTACTAACCATCATAGTGTCAAGTCTGAGCTCACAAGACAAATTCCCATCGATGACCACCCAGTAATGCGGATGGCCAACTGGAATGGTCGATTCTGATCAACAAAGGCGGTGATGGAATATGAGCTATCAAATTAATAGATAAGAAAACTTTTACTAATAAGATCAGAAAGTCCTTTGATTTTATCAACGTTGTATATGACCAAAGTACTTTATAGTTAAAGTCGACAGCAAAATGCAATTTCATGGAGTTAGTGTTCTCCTGATTTCTCTGAATCTGAGTTATTTTAGCTGGCTGTAGTGGACAGTCTACCACGTCGATCATGCTGTAGTGTAATGTTTGATCAAGCCTTAAATTGAATTAAATTCCACAAAAGTACATAGGCTAGAATCCTAGAAGCACCTTAAACCGCGTACTAGCTGTCATTTAATGATAAGGTCATTTAAACGACCTTAGAATCCATCAAGCGTTTCTCATCCTCCTTGCACAAAATTCATGCACTTCTCAATTCGATAATATATTTAGCATAATTTGCTTAAATTCCTCCAATGGTGTATGTTGGGAAAGTAATTTTATATATGTTGTTTTAATGTTTAAATTAGTGACAATCTCCACAAAAATTCAGTAAAAAGTCAATCAGATTCCTTTTTTGGCATAAAAATAGGGAGACATTAACTCAATGAGAATGAAAGTGCAAATCTCATCTATATGAACCAAAGTATTTGCAACTAAGATGGCAGGAATTTGGTAGTTCTCAAAATTTAAACGTGTCAAAACTAAGGCGCACATTGACCTTCTGCTTTCAAATAAATTAGAACTGTAAATAAGTGACCTCTCAACAAGAAGTGACCTTCATTCATTGCATTCATTACAAATTTGCTTCAATTATTTTGCAAACAAATTTCAAACCAAATTCATTTTTTTTCAAGTGGCTGGATGGTAGTAAATACTAAGATAAATTACGACCTCAGTTTTAGAGATCCTTGCTAATCTCAAAAATAAAATCTCCTCAATTCGTGAACCATTGCAAGAGCTTTACATCCCCATGTTCAGTTAGGAGGATAAAAGTATGCCTTTCCCCTATAATAATGATTTAATATTTTGAATTTAAAGCGACTAATCCGGCTTTCAAGATTTTTCAACCGTGTTTACTCTGCTGGCAGACAAAATCCATAATGACTATTGAAAAAAAGTTGGCAAGTTAATTGCCAAGAATGCATGACTGACGGTCTTCAGTGTAGAATGCTTTAAAGACTCACTTCCTTCTGATCATTTTCCATGTTTCCATTTTTGGCGAGATTTCAAGATTCGATTAGAGTCGAAGAAAAAAAAATTGAGTCAATACTTAAGCAGGCAGCCAAGATCGATAAGATTGCGGTAAAAAGCTTCCGGCTGGGAGAAACGTATATACCCTTAAAACCTCACATACATACACACACACACACACTCACACGCACTACCATCCATGTAATTTCGAGGCAAGATTTACATTTTTCCTTCGCTCTCAAATCGAGAGTAAAAGTAAGTTATGCGAAAAACACTTTTCACCCTCGAAGTCGCGATATTATCACAGTTTGCTTTTACCTTGGTAGACTAGTGGAAGAGGTGCTCGAATTGCGTTGGTAAACCTTTAAGGGAAATGCTAAGTGGCATTGTTTTTCTCGCAAAAATTTCACACCAACTTGCACTCCATTACAAGAAATGGGGTTAGAAATAATTCCAAGTTAGGCATTAAGGTGGACAGTGTTTCAGCACTCATCTTGACTTGAGTAGTAGTAAGGCCGATATCAACGCATTATTATACCAATGAATGCGTTTGCGGGGTTGCACATATGGAAATCAAACCCTTGCCTTCTCTACCTCTACGGACTATCGTGCTAATTGATGAGCCACCACCAACATTAGGAATAAAAGAGATGAAACTGGGACTTACACATGGGCAGCGATCGGTTTCATAGGTTGGATAGTGTCCAACTGTTGCGAATTTCGCAGCCTTTGGCGATATGTCATGAAGATTCATCGGCGTAAAGCCACTGAGACCGCCAGATTGGGAGTCGGATTGGTGATCTAAATTGGGGTGGGAGGGGAGAGGGGAAGATGAAATAGACAATTCAACTAAATAAATTAACTCCAAGCAACGCGTATTAATTATAGCAAAACTTTTCAAAAGAAGCGAGTAGGCTTTAGGAGTGGAAGTTCTGCAAATGTTTGGCAAAACAGTAAGACATCAAAACCCCACGTTATGGGTCTCTTTATTTTGAGTACAGTTGATTGATTACTCAGATGAGAAGAAGTCTGATAAAAATGCCAAACCTTACAGAAGGAATGTTGTTTACAAACTTGGAGGACAAAATTCAACTTATTCAAAATTCAATTTATTTCCTGTCTACAGCCATATTATTCGAATTATTATAAATATCTTGGTCTCTCATGATTCGTGTCAAATAGTTAAATTAAAACTAGCCATTTAAATCAAGGTTAATTGACCCTCCAAAATCCAAACCACTCTTGGACCTATCGTAATTGATTTAGTTGGTCTTTCGTCTTTAAATTATTTCGAAAATGGAAGTATTTTGCCTAAACGACTCTTGGATCGATCTATGAGTACCACATATGATTGATTAGCTGCTTAGTACAGTAACCGTATAAGTTAGCAATAGATTAATCTTTTTTCATTCAGAGAATCCTTATTTAACAAACTCAGAGGACTGAAATACTAGAGAAGGTCACTCGCGTATTTTAAAATTACTATAATAAACTGGCACTTAGATTGATTAGATGTGAGTTTCGATTTTCTTCATATATGCCCATAATTCATCACATTCGTAGGCTAGTAAAGTCAAAGTGCCCGGTAAAAGCATTTTATGGATACATTGACAACACCAGTTCATTGGAGAATAATGCAAAACAGAAGAGACGACATTCAAAGGCGGTGTTTAATCATCTCATTAAATAAAACGATTGAAGTATTAACATTCTGAAACTTATATGCATATATTTTTATTTATATTTGGTTTTCGTGATTTCATTATACGCGAAATTTCCCACCCATTATCACAGAGTGATTTACCAAAACGTGTGCCTTGAAAGACACTCATCATTCATTAAATTGAACCATAATATGCTCGTCGAAATGTGTTATCAAATATACACATACATGTATATAATAAGGCAGAAGATTTCCTCCTTCCCTTTATAAGAAGTAATGTAGTTCTCTCATTTACATCACTTCAGGAGCAATGTTTTGCTTTATGCGAATTTAAATCTACTCAGCACCTCTAATGAAAATATTTCCGCAGAATTTAAGAGAGCACTCAGTCTCCACTTCAATGCATTATTTACTTCTTTCTCACCTAAAACTCATAACATAGGGTAACGTTTAAATGTTAATTTTATCCACGTTGTCAACAGATTACCCCCACATCAGACGACATCTACTCGAATTCCGACTAAACCTCAAAAGTACCAAGCAGACGATAGTAAATTTTCAAATAGAACGACAGAAAGTTTGAGTTTTAAGTAAGTGACACTAAATAAGAATCTAAAGTTTAAATTTAGAATTCCGGATGTGATCGAAAATGAATTTCCAGCTATTGTAGTATTCAAACCATACCTCTTGTATAAGTAGATATATTATATAGAGGTAAAAAACTGCAGAGCTGTGTATTGTGCATCGCGTATTATTTATCTGTCAAACTTTGAAGTGTGCATATTGGAAATTGGATTAGCTGCCAAAAAATGACAACCAAAGAGCGATGGACGGTTTCTATGGTACTCCATAGAGAGTGGGTAGCTATCGAGGTGGGTTGCTATTTTGACCGCAAGGTGTGTAAATGGCTTGCCGATAACAGCCTTCACTAACACAACAAAGGGATGGAATTTTATAACTGAGAATAACAACATAGACTTTATGAATTGTCACGATAAATGGGTGAACTGAAAAAAGTCATATACATATATATATTAAAATATGACTAGCTGATGCCAAGTGGAGAGGGACTGACAAGGCAGCTTTCATCACATATTTTCAGTAATCTTTAAAGAGTCTTTTAACCTATATTTTCAATACTGTGTGTCCCATCTTACAGCTTACGATAGTAAAATAAATAAATAGTGAAGCCGGGAATTCAATTATTACTGAGGTGAAAAAAGAGGTGGGATATGGAGGTGATAGCGGATTGAACTTTTCGAAAGTGGAAACCCGATGCTTATAAGACGGTGTTAAGGCTAGGCAATTTTTAATTTCATGTTCTACTTTTGATCCAATTATATTTTAAATGTTTTTTTTGTTTTTGTAAACAAAATTAATCATTTTAAAATTGTCTCCCCACCCCCCAACTCTGGAGTAACGGTGAATGGAATTTCACGCCACCAGGTTCCAGATGAAGATGAAGCAGTATTACGAGAGTATTGCCCCCATTCTGAAAATGGCATGCGACTTAAAAGTTCTTGCAGCTCGTTGTTTACGTGATAGTCGGGTCATCTAGACTTTAATCACTGTATAATTGGTAAGGAGGTATTCAACATTCTGAAACGAGACTGACTAAATCCTACTTGACGTCCATATTCTTGAAATTATCAAATTATGGGCTAGATGGTTTCTAAAGTAGTACTAGAGTGTAATGAATAACTTAAGATTCATTTTAAATTCGAATTTTGTATAAAACTGCTCATTAAATTTTCAAACCACTCGGGACAACATAAAAAATGAAACGTGGCTTCGAGTTTTTTACAATTTAGTTCTCAATTCGATTATAGCATAGATTTGAGTATGAACTTTTGCAATGGCTTAAGTACATATCCACATTCAAAAGGATCAAACTCTAAATTTCACATGACGCACACGAATTGGCACTTTCTTGGGGAGTTAAAATATTTGGTGCTCTTTAAAAAGCATATCACTCACTGTTAACTCATCTTTTTTCTCATTTTTAAGCGACACTCTGCTCGAAGGCACTTCTCCATTTATTTGTTAAATTCATATCCCTTTTGAGTTCCGATAATTATTTGAAGTATATATATATATATATATATATATATATATCAATTAGGGGGGAGGCGAATTAATGGCGCACAATACGCCGAATTAAGACCCGGAATCATGGCAGCATATCAACCGAATTATAAATTAGAACTGAATTGCAGAGGAAGCCAACTAGAATAATATCAGTCTACTTGTATCTCCTCCCATAATAAGTCTCCCTAATTTGTTAATTCCCACTTTGAGCTGACCGCATTAGCATTGGACAACATACTTGCCTTTTTTTGCGGTGTGCGCTCGAATCTATGCCTTCTAAATTTGCCTCACAGCAGGTACTATCTGGCGGGAAATCGTGGAGTTTTATGATATAATCTATTTCACAGGCATCACCACACAGAAAAAAGCGTGGGGCCTTATCACACCAGTTAAATCTGTAGTCGCATGAACATTAGAGGCACTATTTTCCCCCTCAAAAAAGCGCATTTCTCATCATTACACACCTGCTTTTACCAACAAAGCGGCTTTTGTCAAAGCCGCAGTCCACATTCGTATAGATTCGATGGACGTGGTCGGGGATGGTGAGAAATTAAAACTCCTGTGTCGCCATAAGTACCACCCATTTAATTCCCTCCACCACAACCCCCCCCCTTCCCCCCACATCCTCACACACACCACACCACGCCACACACACACACACACACACACACACGCAACTTTAAACTTTTCGCACAAAATGCAGCGAATTTTAACAGAAGCATTAAACTACTCACTCTTTCCAACGAAGCTCTTCACTCGGTTACACTTTTTCATGAAGATGAGAATTGCCAGTAGGATTATGCAGAGAATACAAGCCATACAGACCAAAACGGCGATGATGGTCACATTTCTGTACTCCCAACTATTGCCAATTCCTCCAATATTATTACTCTTGTCATTATTCTGGAGTGGTCGCTGCACTGGACTCAGGATTCGATCAGCGGCTGGAGATTTTCCTGGTTGTCTGTTCACTGAATCAGCGCTGTTTAGTGGGGGCTTGTAGGGAGACACTGCTTGCTGGTGCCTCTCTGTACCAAGAGGTGAACTGATTTCCTGAACAGGGCTTTGAATAAGTACACGGAGGGGGAATCGCTTTGTGAGTTGATGATTCACTTCTTTGGGGTTATCTAGAGCGAGGATGTTAAGAGAGTAGCGTCCGGGTGGTATTATTGACTGTTTCTTTTGCCCTGCTTTCTTGTCAGTCTTTAAGCACAGACTAGTCTGAGATTCATTTAATTCAAAATTGGGATTAGCGTCTAGAGTCACAGTTACATTTCCATTTCCGCTCATTTTGTCATCATCGTCATTGAAGGCGTACGGAAATGGGACACATATTGGTGGATCACCCTGAAGTTTATCGGAAGGTATGACCACCTCAGCTATAAGTACACGTTTCTTCTCCGGCGCTGCTAGAGAAATCATGAAGGGGGCATTGTCATTCTTGTCTAACACAGTTATTACAACTGTTGCTGTGGAAGAAGGTGAAGTTGACCCTGTTGCCCGAAGTCGCGCAGGGCTACCTGAGACAGCAACCACCTCAAGAGTTATCTTCGGTGTCTGCTCGCGATCTAATGGACGAATTGTTCTGATGATACCATGATGCCTACAAAGGAAAATGAATATTCACAAACTATGGCACTTCGAAAGACAGAGTTTGTGAAACCAACTAATTCGGCATAATTCAAGCAGCAACCTGTCATTAACACATTTTGTGAAGATTTCTTTTAAAAGGAAGGTGACAGACCACGCTACCATCCCCATGCGACTCTATATTTAACGGTGACAGCTGATGTCAAAAAGAGGAGAATAATTACTTGTCAATGGTGAAGAATTGAAAAGCCACGTTTACTGGAATGGTGGATGTTGTGTCGGTAGAAGACGGTCCATCTTCAGACGGAGGAGCCCGAAGTTGATAATTGATTATTCTGTTCTCTGGAAGGCTGTCAGCATCTGTAGCTTCCACCTTGCCAACTACTGTGTGGCTTGGCATGCCCTCTGTTACCTCAAAGGTGTAAGTCTGCTGTAGCATCATTGGGGGGTTATCGTCCAAATCCTTCACCTATTAGCGAGCGAAAAAGGAGTCTTATTTACCTACTTCATTAGTATTCAACTCTTTCAAACCCTAATGCCAAGTTTATTTTCAGTCATCCGTTGCTTCCTCCTGCCCCCCCCCCCCCCACCACCCTCCCATCCCCAATTAAAGCTTAAGCAGTGCCTATTTTGTGTTCGCAATTGCAAAGAAATTGAGTTGGAATAAAGGGGTGGATAGAAAGGGGGGGGGCTCAAAGTATCGAGCATATTTCCGTCTCAAGGTGATGTGAGTTGAAAGCAGGCCGGACGTAGTAAATGGCATAGTAGAGAAGCATTATAAAATGGAGGAAATGACAGTGTTGACGTTGGATATTCATCAAGTTGCTTAATCTCTACGATCGTGGGGAATACAAAGATGAATAATTTAATAATAATTGGGAATCATAACTCATTAACTGCCTCATAAAAGGATAGAACTGATTGTAATAAGAGATCTATTTTTATAGAGATTGTTTATTTTATTAAATTAGGTTCTGCAAGGCTAGTAAGTATCCTTTCTACTATCCTCCCATTTGATATTGCAACACCAAAATTGACTAAGACCACACAATGATGTTATTTAATATCTAAATAAATAACTCAGGTTAGAAATACCTAAGATATCTTCAAAGAACAGAAGTTTGCAAATCAAAATTCCGTCAGCTTGTAGCTAAAACAACCATCAACCTGCCCGGAGCTATGGACACTTGCGATTTAAACACCGTGGAAATGGGTTATTCCGGTGTAAGTGATGTCCGTCTGCTTCTCACCAGTATATCCGTGAAAAGAGGGCAATTGATTAGTGCCAAGAATGTCCATGAAAAAGTTAGAGAAATTTGCTTTATGGAATTCGGAATTTAATTTGCTCTATTTCCCGTAAATCAAAGCTTTTACCAACTTGAAGAATGTGAGTGTACTCCCCACACAATTTGACCATCTCCGATTGAACGGATTTTTGAAAACTCAAATAAACGCACACCTTCGTCCTTGAAAGTTAAAAACTGGCTCAATTGTCCCGCACCTTCCCCACCCCAAAGTAAACCTTTGACCAAACAAAACCCTCTCAATTACCTCTAAACCATAAAGGTCTTAATACCTGAAGGTAACAATTACAATTCGAACAACATAATAATCTGTCCTTATGAAAGTAATATCTCCAATCTGATATTCCTCTTTCCCTCTGAGAGGGTGTCAAACTGAACACAAGACAACACCCCTTCTGAAAGGCTCCTTTAGTTCAGAAATATAAATGATGGCTTATCAACAGTTAAAATGACCTTGACTTACAAAGAAAACGCGTGAATTCAAACTATATGGGTTTTGCTTAATAAATTCGAAAATAATGTCAATAATATGGAACAGTAACTGAATATAGTCAGTGTTCATTCTCAGAGTGTACAAACACAGTTGAAGAAACCATCCTGAAAGAAAGAAATTACGTAGTGACTGCGATCCTAGATAATTAATTAGGGGAGGAGATGTTTAAAGCTTGCCTAAATATAGTTTCTGTCAAACGTCTTTTCTCTAAACGCTCAGAAATATGAGCTAGGCGGTTAAGAGGGAATATTTAAGCATAGATAAAAATAATTAAAGTATAACAGCTCAAAACGGCTGGATATCAGTCAAAAAATAACGTTTATTTTATTCATTTTTAAAAAATAAAACTTGAAATCTAAAATTAAGTTCTTTGTGTTTAAACAATTCTGCCATTTTGATATATTTGGTATTCAAATTTAGAACTGTAAGTATGAAGTGCTATTTTATAATATAATATATTGCAAATAAAATAACTTAAGAAAGGCAGAAAAAGATGTAATTGTAAACAAGGAAGATTTCTTCTTTTACCAAATTGAATCGAAAATAGGTATTTCTAAAATTTGTGAATCAGTAAAAAGATGAAAAAAACTGCAGTCAATGTTTACGAAAGGTAATTTTAAAACAAGACTACGGGATATCGACCTTGGAGAGTATTTTGTTTAAACGAAATAAATTTTTCGCCAAAAAAGACTTCGAGTAGAAGGATAAAACGGGATTAGGGACTCTTGGGTAAAAGGATTTTTAAGATAAATAGTGCCAATCGAAAGCTCCCAGATGTCAATTTTCGCTAGTGCCATGTAAAACGATATGCCAAATTGAAATGCATATAATACACAATCTCCCTGGTTTTTCGATCAGAGACGGCTGTCAACTTTGCAACAACAATAGGCTATTGACTATTCGATGTCGAACTTCTGACTACAAATGGAGATGGAAATTTTAAAACCAATCAAAGGAAATAAAAAGCGTTTAGCAGAAGTGCATAATTCTAAAAGACCTTATAGAAGTAAAGAATATCTTAAATTAATATCGATTTTGTGTGAGCTTCAATGCCATCTAACTTATTCCATTTCTATGTGGTTAATAGTAACTAAGGAGTGCAAAATAAAATGCTATTTAGATGTCGACGACGCGGTAATCAGCGTGTGCACCTGCCAAGTCAAAGGTCAATGGTAATTGGTACGTATCCAGTGGTGTGGTTGACCGATCTCTCTGGTTAATTCTAGTCATCATAAGAAGTGGAAGAATGTGATTTTCTCGAAATAGGAATTTCCACTTTTCCTACTTGGTTTGGGAAGTTTCCGATTTAGTCGCTTAAGTAGGCAAGAACATGCCGAGTTAAGGGAATTTTCATTTTATTAGTTTGTCAAATAATCATCGTGCACATTCAGAGGCTCTGTTTTGGAGACCCGAAGGATTTAAGGAATTGAAGGCCAAATTCCAAGTAAATCATCAGGTTATGAGTTCAATTTCTACGAAATACCCAAACTAGATGCATAAATGTCCCAATGTGCAATAAATCCGTGAGAGTTCTACTAGAGCAGGTGGAGTATTCTTATCACTCAAACTTCGCTCTCATGAGATGGACAATATGCGAGATTCAAACATCAATAATTTAGCAAGAGTCATCCAAGACGTCCCAGATTCGACTGTCACTATGTCTCACCTTCGTTGTGGTGTTGACAGCTTATCATAGTCTCCCTCCTGTCCATAATTCAGGAATAAAAGTAGGCACGCACTAGACACTGGATGAACTCATCCTCTTCCTCCAGAATAAGTAAATAAATAAATAAAATCTGAATAAAATATCAACCCAGGAAATTAATGCAAAATTTTCTATTGGAAGTCGGTCTAACTAACCCAGTTCCGTCCCGTTAAAATTGTGCTTGCAAATTTTAATATTTGAGGAAAAAGATGAGACGTAATCAACTGATCAGTCAGAATGCAAGGCACGAATCGTGAAGCTTGAATTCTGAAACGGAAATTGACTATTAAGTAAATATTCTACAATTCGAAGTGGGACTACTTGATGCCTTGGCATTCTATTTGTGTTTCTTCATTCCTTATAAGCTTTCAAGTGTTTTCTGCATTGCTTTTAGTTACTAATAACCCAAATTTCGAGTCCTGAATTACCGTTATAATAATCTTTGCCGAAGATGAAAGAGCTTGAGATGCATTCAGAGGTTGATCTGTAGCGATAACCATGAGATAATATGAAGATTTAGTCTCAAAATCTAGCGGAACCCGTGTCTTCAATTGTCCAGTGAATCTGTCAATATGGAAAAATTGGTAGTCGGCCTTTTCAGAAACTGTGGAGTTGGAATCCTCCTCCCGTGTCCACGGAGCAAGGGAGTAGGCAATGGCAGCATTGGGACCTGCATCGGCATCTATTGCTCGTATGTGTGAAGGGCTTGTGAATTGTGATGGCTGTTTGCCGTAATTCGAGAAGGAATCCTTGAAGTCCACCAATGCATTCGCCTCATTCTCAATCACTGTCCCAAAGAATTGACTCTTCTCGAACAGTGGTGGGTTATCATTAGCATCTTTGAGGAAAATTCTAATTTGACTTTGTCCGATCAATCGGGTAGCAGTGCGACCATCCACACAACGAACACTAACGGAGTGACTTGGTGTCTTTTCTCTATCCAACTGAACCAAACTTATCAATTCATACAATTTTCTCCTTTGAATAGTGTTGCCATTACTAACCTCCCGCAGGTCAAATAATCGTTGTGGTGATCTGATATCACAAAACACTTCATCCAAGCTAGTATCTTGATCGTAGACGTGAACATGACAAATGACTTTAGGCAAGTGGTTATCCGTATCCTCTTCGCGCTCAATGCTGGCATATTCGGAGTTGAGAAGATTGCCCTTGTTGAAAAATCTGATGACTGGAGGCATATCATTTGTGTTTAAGACCTCAACAGACACTGTTGCTGTGGAAGCAAGCCGTGGAGTTCCATAATCTTGAGCCACTACCTCAAAGTCAAACGAGCTGACAGCTTCGTAGTCCAGGGGTTGAATCAACCGTAGAACAACTCCGTCCACTGCTGGCGAAGCAAGAATATGCATTTGAAGGAAGTCTGCCGAAGGCTTCTGATTGGCTATTAAATGGTTCCCCGGTCTCAGGTGGTAACTTAATTGAGAATTCTCGCCAGCATCCAGGTCTGTAACATGAAGGTGAACCAGAGTTTTGCCGACCTCGTTCTCCTTCACAAAAACTTTGAAATCCTTTTGCTTAAAGGTCGGTGCATTGTCGTTTTCATCTATGACCTTAAAGTAATAAAACGGTAACTTAGGTACTACTGAAAACAAAGTAAAATCAATTTGAAGAAAAATTGAATAAAATGTGAATGTAGGAATTAGTTTGATGTTAAGCAATCCCAATTATCTCAATTATTATGAAAATTTTAAAAATTTAAACTAATAAACCTCCCAATTTAATTTTTTTAATGGTGCTATCGAAACATTAGGTTATGAATTTTAAATTTAATTCACATTATTAAAAATTAAAACAAACTAAATTTTGAGTGGCGTGCTAGGCAATCGGGTAGGTAAGTTGCCACTAAACTAATAGCCTCCAACTCTATATCTACGTACGCATAGTACCCAGCGATTTCCACAGACGGTCATCTCAATTATTCACGAAAAAATCCAAAATGCGCAAATAATTTAAAGACACTCTTAAGAAAACTCGAGAAACTAAAGGTTCTTCTAACCTTGGCAATTTCTCCGGAATCGTTTAAAGTGAATTTGGACTAAGGTCGATAAATGTGAAATACTGAGAGTGAAAGTTCTGTACACTCTACTTTTGGCAAGTGTGAGTGAGTGATAGACTTACCTCTACGTTGTGCACCATGAGCAATGTATACTCATACGGTAAAAGTCTGTTGACCTGCAGTTGACTTCTGACTTCAAACTACCACTGAATGTCATATTCTACCATTTCCATTTCCCCAGTGCTCACCTCACCTTTTCTCTGTCTTCGTGTCCGTCTGTCTGTCTCTTTTACATCTGTGAATCATTATTGTCTCCCCACTCTCGACTTTTTGTTACTTTGCTGTCCCTCCTCCTCCTCTCTGTGAAGCCCGAAGTCAGCTAAATGGCCAATGATAACTATCAAATGCCTGCCATTTGAAATAAATAAATAAACTTTATAGCTACTGCTTGCATTTTCGATTTGGGTGTTTCTTATGATAGAAATTTTTCCTCTCATAAAAGAGGGACTCAGAGACCAGATACTCCGGATCCTCTTCTTATTTAAAACCCCCTTTGAAGTCCGAACACTCAGCTGTTTTTCTCAATAAAAACACACCTAGATACGTAGTGAACGTCGTGTTCTGGATACACAGGTAACAAAATTACCCACACACACACACACAAGTGAAGATTGGCATTTTATTAAATTAGATGGATTCGGTAAGAGCAAATACTCTTCTACTTATCTGAGGCGTTAAAACAATAATGGGCGTAGCCGGAAGAGAGTGCCAAAAATTCAAAGGTTGATGCTTAATAAGATAAGTACATCATTGTTGCTAAGTGAAAGCGAATCTGACTGCCCTTCCTTCGGAGCACAACCTTTGGTTGGCAAAAAAGGTGACTTAGCATGCTCATTCCTCTACTCAAATAACTCATTTATAAGGAAATATAAGGCTTTTAACAACCGACTTATTTATATTATGATTTCAGTACATACTCATATGTGAAATAAGAGGTGGTGAAATCGACGCATATATTAACAGAATGCCTAACTGTCCTAGTTGAGTTAATTTTTTTAAAACAAAATAGGTACAAAATTACACGCTCTCACTGGGAAGGCTCTTCGACGCTACTCTTCTATCCAGGGTGCACAGTCGAAAATGTTTTCTGCATGAAACTGATAGGCTGGTGGAGCAGAGGTCAAAATCCACCTCTCCCAAGCCAGTTCTCACGGCATTAATACTCATTAGAGCACACTCAGTGCAGTGGGTAACAAATTCCTTTAGCTCATTTTGATCGGCAAGAGGTGTAATTGAAAGAAGGTTTCTCTTGAGAGCTGTTCTATGATACCTTTCCCCCACTTTTGCCAACTGCTTGCAAACGCTTCTTCTAATTTAATCGTGGCGTTTTTTTCCTAAAAGCATTATGTCAAATGACATGCTTTATGACATTTATTATTAACCCCTTAGTTGACTTCTGGCTTCTCACTATCTCTGGGTTTCTGTTGTTGCCTTTAGGGCTGAACACCGAATTAGGTAGGTCAACTTCATTTCCTCCTGTAAGTCACATAGGGGGGTGGGGGTTTCCAAAATAAGCGCTGAAATTACTAGTGGCCGAATCTTTCAAATCTTTAATAACTTCTTGGGTCTTGCACTGAATTAACTAAATAAGAATCACAAGGCTTTAAGAAAGGAATGGCATCGCCACAACAACAAAAATAACTGAAACGTGAAGAGTTTGAGTGCACCCTTCGCTGATTAATAAGTGATGAGGAACAGCATGTTTCTTCATGCATGCGCGCATCCACACCATATTCCAATCGCCTCCTTCTTTCCCTCCTGGGACAGATACGTAGCAACAGCTGCAGCAGCAGCAATCAGGAACACTGATCAACTAAGGTGCTAACCTTCTCAATTCTCCTTGCAAAGCTTATTTAATTATGCCAGCCCTAACTCAATTTACTGGGTAAAAAATGATAAAACTAACTATTAAACCGAATAAAATGGAAGAAACTTACGGAGATAGACATTGAGAGAGTAGTTGAAAGGGCTACAGGATCCCCTTGATCTCTTGCGACAAGATCGAAAGTGAACCCAGGAACCGTCTCTCGATCAATTGTGCCAAGTAGACAGAGAGCAGGGAAACTGTTATCCCGATTTCGTGATTCTGTGAGAGAATAGGTGACACAACTGTCTTCAGGACCAGACAGCAGTTTGAAGTGTTGTTCCCAAGCTGCCAGGGGACTGACTTTCTCCACACGGAATAGGAGGTCACTATTCTTCCCTTCATCCAAATCAAACGCTTGGGGCAGAGGAATAATAGTTCCTTGTGAGGTGTTTTCGTCAATTTTGATTACCGCCGATTTGTCTTTTCCAACGTGTCCTAGGGTTGCTTCTGGTGGTATACTGAAACTGGGAATGTTATCATTTACGTCTACCACATCGATTCGAAGAGCGAAAGCGCCGTAACCTTCAACAGTTATACCAAGAAAGACACAGCAGTTAAAATCAAGTTGTGGGTTGAAGGAATTCTTCTTGTATTCTCCATCGCCTCTTTCCTTTCCACAGCATTTTTGGGAGACAGCGGCATGATGCGGGTACTTGAAAGGGTCACAAATCTCTTCTCTATCTATGGCCATCTCATTGGTGAGGATCCGAGAACCATCCTTGAGCTGTTTAATTACAAAGGGCCGACTTTCTGTTGCGTCAGTGAAAAAGATTACCGCCTGTTGAGCCTCTTCGGTTGATATAGAGAGTTCAGCTTGGAAGAGTTTAGTCAAATTAACCGAGACTTCTTGAGCAATTCCAGGTAGGGATGGAATGTATGTGGAAGGGTTGGATCTCTGCAGTGCATTGGTCTCCAAAATTTGAATTGTCCGGAGATACTTGCAGGCAGATGTGTGCTGGAGGATTGCAAGGAGTAGTAGAATAATCGTCTGCATTTTTGATTTGGAAGTCATACTTCCATGATGTGAATAGCTAGGTGGATCTAAACGATAAGCCGAAAATAAAAAAGTTCTGTTAGGTTTATCTTTTTGATTGTAAATGCAAGCTTGTCAGCAAGTTAATTAATAGGCATCAAAATTTTTTATCTCAGAAGAAAATCGATATTGAGTAAAGGACGTTCTCTAGTTTGCTCTGCTATGCTGAAGTTGTAGGAGCTAATATTGCCCTGACAACATCTTGATCATTAGAATAAAAGTGTATTGAAATGGGATGAAAAAAAACATTCTAATTAAGTCTAATGAGCATTGGGCCACCGCAGACATCTCCGAAAATCAGCCATTAAATTTTGAATTTTGAAATGCGGAGCGAGGAAAATTGCTTAAAACTTGAATCTAAAAATCTAACAAAGTTGGGTTCTTCTAATAGCCTAAATTAATAATTAAACTAAAATCCGTTTAGGACCTCTCTACTGGCCTGCAAGTCCCGCTTTTTCCTTATGTCTAAAAATTTGAAAAAAATAATATTGCTTTGGTAAAACAGAATTTACACATTGAATAAAGTGTATTGGTCAAGATGCGCGTTCACAAGGTCAGACACGAATTATTGGATACTCACAGAATACATTCAAGGAACACAACCAACCGTACCTGTTGATATAGCTAAATATGAATTTCTCGGCATAAAAACTCCCCATTTCGTCGATTTGCAGACAACTAACAACCTGAAGTTCAAAACTGATCGAAAGAAGATAGAACAACAGGGCTCTGTAGATCTTATTGCGCAAAATGCCAGGCTAGAAAAGTGCAATAGATTGAAGAACAAATTTAGCTAGTTTACAACAACTAATGGTTGTTTAAAGCTAAACTTGGTAAATTCGAGTAATACCCTCTCTTTAAGAAAATTTGCCCTAAATGAGTTGAAGAAAGTGCAAATGTAATATTGAGAACCAATATTCGCCTTAATTTTAGACTACTTACCATTCAATCGAATGCACACAACAATCGCAAGGAACGGAGACTTTCAGGACATTTGGGCGAAGAGGGGGGGGGTTGGGCTTAATCATGAATGAAACTACGTCGAAAGCCTGATTTCAGGACTAGCGCTTCTTTTGATTCCAAATGACTATATTTTTAATAAGCTAATTAATTTTCTTTTTATTTGATTTTTAAAGTTAAATAGGTAATTTTGGAAAGTAAATAATGATTAAATATCACCAATCTCAAAGAAATTAAATTTCATCCTAATTAAAGGGAGAACATTTGAGTTCGGTTTAGCTCAACTTAAATTAATCCATATTCTGTTTGGGTGGCAGTCGGTTTCCATTGATGTGGTCGCACACCGCGAAATCGAGTTTGTTTTAAATGATTTCAACTTTCCATCTCCCTCCCCCCTAACCTCAAATTTTGGGAAAGGGACTAAGTGAGTGAAGTCAAATTCACTCTTCGAAACAAAAAAACCTCCTGCAAATTGGAGTTAGATGAGGCAAATTTAGGATAAAATGGCATGAGATAGAGTTCTGAACTTCTGTACTCAGATTGACCTATTAAATTCGCAAGGAAAAAAACGGTTTTAATATGAGGTCACGAAATGTGTCACAAATATATAGCGTCAGAACGACCACCCAAATTTTTTTTTGGTGGGAGAGAAGGAGGGGGTAGGGAGGAATTCCGTGTCATGTAGGCCAAAGGCAACTGCCAACTTTTTACGGGCAATTTAACAACCAGCCAATGAAGCAAGTAAGTAAATGTATATGTGAAATACATGAAGAAGTCATAAAAATATACTTTGTGCAGAAGAAAATTTGAAATTTCAATTGTAAAACTAAAGTACAGTGATTATGTCAGTAGATAAATGAGCTGTTTTTTGGGACTGCAACAGAAGCCATTTCCAAGTCATAGATTGAACAAAGCATTGGGCTATAATTCAGTGGGAAATTGGCACTCAAGTGAAAGGAATTTACAAATAACTTTAAATAAATCACCACTAAGGGGTAAAATATGAGGAATGTTGGTCTCCTCATTTTACTTAAATTAAATTCAAAAAAAGTAAACTCAATTAAAATTTGAACATGATTAGGCGTGGGATAAAATTCGGTTGTATTATTGATGAAATATTTGGAAAATAGTGTTTGGGGTTCCATTTGGTGATTTTACAAGCGAATTATTAATGAGAGGGGTGGGGTGGGAGAGAGAGAATGAGTAAAAGTTGGGTACAAAAACTACTGTCAGGTGGAAAGTAGTTGGCATAAGAGTTAAATCATCGCCCCGTAATTTCATTCCAATTGACATATTTTACTCCGAGTCGAGTCTTCCCAGTTGCAACAACATAAATGTTAATTAAACGTGGAGAATGAGCTAAGTTTTCAGAAAACAGAGATCCGTTAGGAGCTAAATTATAGTCGGGACTTTTCTCAACAAAAATATATATAATTAGTCACCAAGACCAGTAGATTACCCGAGAGAGTGCAAAAACAACCAAATTCTCCGATCAAAAGTTATGTCAGGAAGAATAAAATTCAATAAAGTTTTGCGAAATTTCGACTTCAATTAGGGGAAAAAATAAATTGCATCTAAAAATGAATTGCATTATGGCAGTAGAGTTGGACTGCAATTTGAGCAAAATGGTTTTAACTACGCAATAGAAAAAAATTGCCTTTACTCCACTCCGAGATTTCATCGATTTAAACAACGCAACAGTAGGTGAAAATGTAAATAAATAAATTAATTTTGTGTACTACTACTCACGCTATTTTATCCCAGCGCTAGTGCTCGTGTGTGTAGCAGAAAGGAGCAGTAGATGGAAAGGAGTATAAATTCTTCGAAATAGAAACTTCCCGTTTTTTCCATATTTGCTCTAAGATGTGTTCGACGATGCTCACAGTTATAGAAATCCAATAAACTCCCAAGAAATGCATGCACATCTATGAAAGGCACAACTGCTAGCGTTAAACTTCAAGTCTAACCAAATTGGATTTCTAAAGAGCACGTAAAGTTTTCTGTAAGGCGAAGTAACCAACTTTCATACTCCCTCCACATCTTAGTTAAGTATAGTTAGAAAATCTTGCTTCTAGTGAAGCCTTCTCGTAGATGATAGCATTTCTAGAAAACGTGAATTTTTTAATTAGAAAATCCTCCTCAGATAAGATACAACCCTTCAACCGGAAAGTCTGTGCAATTGGAGCAAGCACTTTCTCCTGGAAGGATTTAATTCTCCCATGTACTGCTATTTAAAAAAACACCATTTTATTCAAATTATAGCTACCCGGAGTAAAGGGGGGGAGGAGTGGAGATTTAGAAATCCTGTATTTCAAAAACATGGCATTAAGGTTAATTAATTTTAACAAAATTAGGAATAAAAATGTCGAACATACAATGAGAAGATTTAAATCCAAATTGAAGAAAGTCTAGACTGGAGTCCAGATGAGGAAATAATGTTCATGTAAAGCCGAGCGGCCAAAGGGGGTCGAATTGGGAGTCTGAGCGGACAGAGCGACCCCACACGTGTTGTCTCAGACCAAGGTCGCACACTCGCAATTTCAAACGGGCGCTGATTGGCCCGTGCACAAGCGGGCATTCCTGCACGCACGCATGCACGCACCCACTTACGTGGATTGACAATGGACGAATTTCTAGTGTTAGAAAAAAGGAAAATTATGTTTGCTAGCTTCCTAGCTCAGTGCTTTTTATGTGGTTTAAAGTAATTCTGCATAAAGGGCATAAATAGAGCAGTATAACGTGTTTTTTTCTTAAATTTCGAACTATAGAAACATTAGTAATAGCCTCATAAAATTTTGCTAAGACTACAATGGGCCATGCATTCAATAGTCTTTTTGGTGGTATCTTTATCATTAATTGATGAGCACGTTTAAATAAAAACACGTTTCTTGTAGTATTAAAATCAAGATAACCAAAAAATAAACCGCTTTTGAAGTGGCAACAAATGTCCCTTGAAATGGGAAAGTTTTACTAGATGTGCTTTGATTGTCTGGGAGTTTCTCTATCTATTGGATACGGATATGTCATACAAGTAAAGAATTTCTCTTCATTGAAGAGAAACGCGTTGTGCTGATTTCGGATAACCTACCTTTATCAGAACTCGAAAATATTTTTTTTATTTTAATGTTAATTAACAATAACTTCCAGGGTTCAAATCTTATCTCCTCTAGAACAACGCATTTTGCTGGTGGAGTGTATTCGAGCTCTATAAGGTCAAAATCCGTCAAACGCGTTTTTCCACCTTCACCTTGAATAAACGGAGTATCACCTTGAGCACGTTTGATTGGAAAACTCAAATGTTTTTTCAGCCCTCATGATTAACGTACTTAGTCAACGTATATCGAAACCGCATTCTCTGGCTTATCAGATGTGCAGATTTCGACTACTATGTCACTACTATGGATAGAAGGCTTCAACTAATGTGTCAATTAAATTGAATGTTCGTAATATACCTATGTTCCAATTACACACAGTTTCCTTGTACAAATTTCTAGTTTTTAACAAAAATCAATATGGTCAATGCTAAAATAATGGGTGAGGAGGGTGTGATAGACTTACCTCCTGAGCAACGGTTACTCATACGACAAAAAAAGTCTTTAAACCGACAGTTAACTTCTGACTTCAAACTACTATGATCCGTCTCCATGTCATATTCGACCACTTCTATAGTACTCACCTTAGCCTTTTCTCTACCTTTATGTCTTCCTTTTTGTCTCTTTTACACCTGTGAGTTACTCTTCTATTCCCCCTCTCGACTCTTTCTCACTTTGATATTCCTCCCCTCTGTGAAGCCCGTAGTCAGCTAAAGGGCTAATAATAACTAACAAAATGCCTACTATTTGAAATAAATAAATAAATGTCACTGGATCATAACTAACGTGGCATCGTTAGTAGAAGATCAAAAAGAGGATCCCATATTTTAATAGATAATATATATTTATTTAATATTAAATAATAATATTTTAAGATTTTTGAATCACGAAAGCAGCCGATACAAATGTTTATATGTCGACAAGAGG